GTTGATTTTAAATGTTATAATACTCAAATATTATGTTAATAATTGTCTATTTTGTTTCAGACCAAATTACTTCACAAGCTCACCAGCCATTTGATTTGGATAATCCTATGTTGGAAGACTAGTTTTTTATATTATTATTAGAATATTTTTTTATTAAAAAAACGTTACTCAGACTAATTTTGTTGTTTCTGTTTTAGAAGTGCAAAACACAGCAAATTTTACTCTCAGAAAATTACATTTAGCTCCATTAGTTGGAGTGAAAATTTTTTATAAGGCATCTCATAAACTTTTTACTGTGTTTTAAATTTAAAGCAAGGGATGAGTATTTATGAAGTAAAAACAATTTACAATTTTAAAACTCATAACTCACTTTAAAATTAAAGTATAATAAAAAGCCTGAGATACCCTTTGTAGCTTTAAATTTAAAAAGGAGGTTAATTCACTCTAATTTTTAAACTAACAAAGCTAAATCTGATCTTCTAAGCTTAAAATTTGCTATATGTTATGCATATGTAAGAAAAATATCAACATAATGTCCTCCTGAACAAAATTGAAAAATAAATTCACTTAAATACCTTTTATTCTAAAGGTGAGCATATAGATACATGTTTTGTTTGTCTTCAAAGTTGGAGCCAAGTAAATACAGCCAACATTTTGGTGCCTTACGATCACTGATGGTGTTGTGATGAGTGTGCGATTTGTTATATAAATGTGGTGTCTACAAAATTGAATTTCCTACAACACAATCCATCCAAATAATGCACGTTAAATTAGGAGATGGTAATTATGAGTGTATAGATTGTAGCATTTTTCTTTTGTAATTTTATATTAAAAATGTACAATTTTTTTATTAAAAGGAAAATGGATGCAAAATACTTCCTTACTCCATCCAACTGGAAGTCAGTGCCTTGGATGTATGCACCATGTACAATATGTACTAGACCAGGCGCAATGCAAACTGTTGGACTGTGGCCATGGATGGTATTGTGCGACATGTAACTCATCACCTCCGGTCACATGTGAGGTTTGTGGTGATATGGTCGAAGGCACTATAAGAATATTTTTAAATTAAGTATATATTTCATAATTTCGTTGATGATTGTTTATGTAGGTAGTTTTTTTATGTATTTTTTTTCTTATTATTATTTACCTTTATAATTGTATGACTTGTTTCATTCTTTTTAAGATCGAGTAAAATGGAAAATGACTAAAATAAATATTTCATTTTTATATTTGCTTATTAATTATCATTCAGGAGAAATTCTAAAAAAACTTTCACCAATAGCAGATAATGTTTTAATTGTTAAAACAAATATTTAGCAAAAAAAAATATCAAATGATAAGAATACCACATAATATTAATCTATCTATCGTAGAAATTGACTCAAATGACTATAAAATTAAATATGGCAGATTTGTGTTAGTTATAATTTCATCATATTTGCAATTTCTACCTTTAAAATTTTAAAATTGTAGGCAAGCGCCAAGCTTACTTATATAATATCTACTTATTCTTAATATCTTTTCTTCCAACCTAACCTATTTAAATTGTAATACTTCATTAAGCACTTCATCTGCCAAAATATGACAAAAATAGTAATTTAAATACAAAAATTGAAAAAAAAACATGTTAGATATCATTTCAAAACCAATCAGTTCATCAAAGTAAACATGTCCTATCCTGACTACTCAACATTGTATTTTTCAGTTCATACATCAATATAATACTACAAACCTTAACTAAAAAATAAATATAATTATATTTTCAATTTCAGCTATATAATTTTTATTTTATTACAGATAGAAAATCACATTTTTTTAATAATTCATCCATTATTTAAGTGTCTATGTCGTGTAACTAATGTACCTACTACCTTAAACACAAAATATGTACAGATTTTAACAAGTAAATGTAAATTTTAACTGTTGTATGGCTTATAAGTTTGAAAAAATTTATAACTGATATTAATTTATTTACGTTTTGGAAACTCCCTTTAAAACAAAAAATATTACGAATAATTGTTATTGAACATATAATTAAAAGCATTAAACTGTATTCATCATTAATTGTTACATCTTAATGTTATTGGAAATGCATTTCACTTGGATCATGTGTTAGTGTGTTACTATATCAGCATGGTATGATGTGACATGTCACATGTGACTTTTTATTTAGGTACTTGATTAAACAACTTTTTTGGCATTAACTAATTCAAATTGGTCTCGTAAATTCATGTGTACCTAACTAACAAACCTAAAATGTTGATGATTTTTTTTTTAAAATACTACCTATTTTAAAAAATACCCACAGCGACCTCTGCAAAGTATAAACTATACTTGTAGTACCTAATTTGTAGGGTAAGTTTTTAAAATATAAAACAATAAATAAAAGTAAGTACTCGTACGAGGGAAGCAATACATTTTTTTTACCCCGTCACTTACCTTTATGTGAGAGCCTAAGTTAGGTACCTACTCGGCTGTATACAGTATACATATTATATTATTTATTACGCTATAGTGTAGTAGTATAATATCACCACACAATTTTGTAGTAAATAATACATCGGTGACTGCACGCTATTATAGAATAATATTGTTTCATGATATATTTATGCCGAGCCTAGAGAGAATATTATAGGCACGATTAAAGTATCCATTTTTTATTACTTCTGTAAATTGCAAAGCCTTATTTTGAATTCTTTTCAAGTCTCAACACTTTTAGGGTTTTATGACTTTATGTTGAGTTATAGTTTAACCGTTAAGACTAAAAACCATATTGTTAGATGCCGTACGAAAAAATTGACTCGCGACAGTAGTGTATCTAAAAATCTAAATGGCCTATACTTAGAGTGTCGTGTTCTGCATTGTATAGATTTAAATACTCCCAATAATATTCTGTTTCGGAATTTGAGATAAAAATGTATCGTGTA